ACACCACAGAGAAATTCAACTCTCGAGGAAAATAGACTCGAGAGAAAACCACCTCTTGAGGAAAAAAGACTAAAAACCCACTTCTCTAGAGAAAAAAAAACTCTAGAAAAAAGCATAGGGATAAAAAATTGAAACCAAAACTATCGAAACTAGAATAAAATGCATAAGTAATTATAGTGCGTAAAGTTATGTCAATAACAGCAAAAATTCATATTTAATACTTTTATAATTTTTATTACAGATACATAATTAGATTAATAGACACGATGTGGCGTAATACAATTTTACTTTAGGAACCATTAAAATATGTACCTAAATATGTATGTGTCGAGGTATGCTATGAATTATGAATTATTAATGTACGAAAGGAGGGGAAACGAAATCCTGCACGCAAACTCTTTACCACCCAGGATCGGGCCTGGTTATAACCTACCTTATTTTCTGCATAAAATTGCGAAACTTTGTAAGTCAGGACGAATAAAGGTGCGCAACTAGCAAACGCATTAGCAATAAGTAACAATTTTGATGGTGCTGATTTGATAAAAAACACTACAAAAAACAAGGAATCGTGAGTACATTTTAATTGTGCAGGTGTTTTTCTTCGACCAATTTTATTTGTACTAGGTATCACTTAGTAATTTAAAAGAGTATAGGTACATATTTTGAAGTAATAAAATAAGAAAATTAATATTGAACTGAATATACATAATCAGAAGGTTATAGTGTTAAAAGTCTAATCATATCTTTAAATTCTAAAGAGGAAAATTAAGATACTTTTTGCAGGAAACACCAACTCTAAATTTGTTATTTATGTGAGTTAAAATCGATTTAAAAACTGTTACTAGTGTCTTGTTTTTTGGCCAGTTCGGCTCTGAATTAATCAACCGATCAATTGCTTTTTGCCAGTTTTAAACTTCGCTGAGGTTAAACATCAACCAAAACAAGTTTACAGAACCGTAAGTAAAGGACCGGTTTCTATATCCAAAACAGCTCGCGCGTTAATTTATTATGTAATACAGGGAGGGCATTCTAAAATCTGTTTTCAAGTTTTAGTCGTTGAAAGATTGTTTGAGGGGCACCTATGTGGAATGGAGTAAGGAGTGGTAAGTGAAAAAAATTAAACAGAATCGATCTAAAGGCTTAGGTGAATAGTTTTTTTTATAAAAAGAACATACATACATCCACACAAAAATGTATTAAATTAAATGTAGTAAACAATTTGAATGTCGGTGACTTATGTCCTGATAGACATTTGGTCAGAGTGGTGTACGTAGAACGCGAATAGGTGAGTTCAAGTCCTTCCCTGAACAGAATTTTTTCACTTTGAGGGTCCCAAAATAATTTTCATTATTTCGTAGGGGTAATTTTGGGATTTCCAAGGAATGTATTATAAAAATTGCGTTAGTAGAAGAAAATTATTTTGAAAACAAATTTTAAAAAATAAAACTGTTAGTAAAACACTTTGGAAGGTTATATAAATGATTTTACAAACAACATAATATAGAAAAAAGCTAAAATGGGTGAAATAAAAGTTGAAGGAAAGAGTATAAAAGATAAAAGGAAAATTGCATATCACTTTAACAACCATTTTATCAATTTGGGCAAAACTTTAGCAAACAATATAACGCAAACCGATGGATATAAATTAAAAAATTATAAAAATTAAATATCTATATTTCTTTAGTCAACATATGAGGTAGAATTTAAATACTTTATAAAAGAGCTAAAAAGAAACAAAGCGCCTAGTTTTTAGACAAATTAACTCCACAAATTTTAAAAATGACTGTACTAAAAGTAAAAACTATTAGTTTCTATTATAAATAAGATAATAAAAATTGGATATTTTCCAGATAATTTGAGAAAGGGTCTAATAAATCCATTATTTAAAAACGAAAACTCTAAGCTTATCAAATTAACTAACTAAAATAGTTGAAAAAATATTTAAGTCCCTATTGGTTTTAAAAAAGGGATATCAACTGATGATGCTATAATACATTTAACAATTTTTTTTTTATAAAACTAGATGTCAATAAGGGTGAGCTCTGTATTTTTGGACCTGGCCAGTGACTTCGATAGGGTCAATTATATAATTATGATACATCGTTTTGAGAATTTAGGATTTAGAATAATAGATTTAAATCGTACCTAAACGAAAAATAAATAATATTGTCAGTAAACCATGCGAAATAGAAAATTGAATACCACAAGGCACTGTTTTAAGTCCTAGTCTTTTTAATATTTATGTAAATCATATAACATATTTAGAAATTGTTTAATAAAAAAAGTTAAGACATATTTTGTACAAATTTAAATGCATCAGATATTAAATAATACTCATTTTAGATGTATTATTCATTGGTATGTTCACATATCCAGTAAGGAACTACAGCTTATGGAAGGCGCTTATAATGATCATAAATAACATCTTGAAATTATCCAAAGAAAATGTATTAAAGTAATATAGGTAATAAAAAAAGATTATCCAACAACCTTTGTTTTTCTAGAGAGTAAATTAGTTGACAAATTTATTTACAAACAGTAGTTACTTATCAACACAAAAAAGACACGAATCGTTAGATATTTCAACATGAACAATTTTCTACAAATCAGCAACACAAAAAGTTTGTTATATGAATTTAAAAAAAAAGAATATTTTAAAAATATTTTTGGATATACAGGATGATAAATAAAAATGTATATTTTTTAAATGGAAAATCCTGTATTTTATTTCAGTTATATCACCAATTTATAAATAAATTTCTATATTTTTATTTTGTTTGGCATTATCTATACCCTTATTATCATCAGTAGCTCTAGATTACAGAGTTTAGAACATCTAGAGAACTACTACAGGTAAAATTTTATGACAAAAACAAAAGAACAAACGCCAAAACTTTTTTGGCAAACAATTTTCCTGTTCCCCCGACGTGCTGTTTTTGGTCAATAAAATTTGTTACTAAAACGCTTTTTTTTATTATTTAAAGTATATTTTATTTTCTTGTGATTTCATCTTATGTCCATTCCACAGTAGACGGACAAAGTAAATAAGTAAAACATTCAAACCATTCTTTTTGATGCTCAAATTCTTTTAAAATAGACGCCATTTTTTAAGGGGGAGCCAAATTCAAAATCGAGAAAGGTTTTTATAGCAAGTTAAAAAATTAAATCCGGCCCTGTTTGAGATATTAAGAATACTTACCACATAGAAAAATAAACCATATGTAAAAACCTACCACTCCTTTGCAGAATGAATAAATTTCTAAAACCGATATTGTTGCGCCATCTATAGAGTAGTAGCAGTATTATAATTGAAGAAAATACATGTACACAGAGAATTCTTCGGTTTTATTTTAGAATTGTGAATTGTAAGTTGTAGATGGAGAAAGACTTTTAACTTTCTTCTTGCTTATACAGTATGTGCCATAAAGTTGGATTCATATGGAATATTTTAATATAACATTTCGAAAAAAACCGTTGCTTACTTAAAATAACCCATATGAAAGTTTACTACTGACATTTAGTTAGGAATCTGTCAAATTTGCATTTTTTTTTAAATTCGTTCAAAAATTGCTAGAAAACTTTGTTTGCGTAAATGAAACCACACCGTCGGTCGTTATTGACAAGAATTGGTATATAATTGTTGTTTACTCGTCCCTTCTAAGCATTTTCAATGAATGAAAAATTGTCAGAGTTACGGGGGTATATCAAAAAATGTTAAAACCTAAAATTTTCTTAAAGGTGGAATAACTCGTTCAAAATAGTTGATGTAAAAACTCATTAGAAACCAAAGTTTTTCTAATAACTTTTTCCTATTAAAAAAAGTCAATTAAGAATGATTTTTTTAAAAAAATGCGAATTTGACAGAAAATGTGTACATTTCTAATTTTGAAGAAAACTCAAAAACGGATAAAGGAAAAAACATTAAATTTTAAACTTAAGTTTTATTTCGGCCTGAGGTAAAATGATTAGATTTTGGACGAAGGCGGAACATCTGGGGAGGTACTTTATGGGAGGCCGTTTTTATATTTTATGGAATATATCTGTTATTTACGTTTGAAGAAGAACATTTTTTAAATAAAAGTTACTTTTAATATTATTTTCTATATTTTTCTAAAATGGTCCGTATTCGATAAATTAAAAGATGAAAAACGGTATATGTTTATAAACGCTTTCGAAAGCTTACTCAAATCAGAAAGATTATGGATCTCAGTATTCGTTTACCTAGGGTTATTAACCCTATCTAGTTATGTGTTCGAGATCAATGTTTTGTAATCGAGATTAGTAATAGAATCCGCATATGCAAGTAGATTTGAAGTTTTTTCCACATTTAATTATTTTTATAATATTTATGACCATATTGCGATTTTATTAGTCTGACTACAAATGTTTAATTAAAGTGGTCCTAAAAAGATTTATAATATTGACAGTTACGCGCGAAAAGTCAAAAATTGACAAACGTAGATGAACTGGTACAATAATCCAACTCGTTCATAAACTGTCGGTACTAAGTTCAATGATCCACGTGATCCATCGGGTGAAACCTGTAATTTGGGTTTGTTATCTATAGTAAAGTCCGAAAACGCCTAAATATTGTTAAAAGTTTGTTAAGAATTAACTGTCAGAGGAACCAAAAGTACGTCACACTTTATGACTTATTCTGTTTTAAGTTTGAATCTTGCAGAGATGATATTTTGGGTTATAGGTGTGGGGGTTGCGATTATATCGAACAAGGCGTTTCATATAATTGAAATCGAACTTCAAGTAAGTTCATTTGATATTTCAATTATATTCCACGCCTTTTATTTTCATTGATCATAGATAAACGTTTAAAGGAAGACGAAACACAATCACCAAAAACATTTTTATTTCAAATTAAATACAGTACTAGCCATTATATCATTGCAATAACAGACTTTTATGTACAATTTAATTTATAACTTAAACTAGATACATACAACGAACATTACAAAATCGGAATTGCAAAGTCAAAATTATATTATTCGTGATAGAAATTGTTAAATATTACATATTTGATTTTTTAGTCCATTTGGTGTAAGTTTAATTGCGTCAATACTAACGCCCAATTTATTAGCGGCGTGTATGTAGAGGCATAACATGTAAATACTGTGGTATCTATTCCATTACATGGGCTTAATTATCTCACCCAACTGCTAATAGATTGGGAAGTTGCAGAACGTTGTTTATATGTTGCTTATATATTAAGAATAATTTTAAAATATACAACTTGTATTCAAAATTTCTTCCCATAAAACAGCTATCGATCAATGACACTCTGTATATAAATAATAGGCTAACATGTTGGTATAGTTAGATAGGTAAATTTATAACAAATTTATCGTTAAAATAATATACAAAGTGCTGCATTTTAAAAAATTGAGTAAATTGAACTTAAAATGAGCCATATTTAAAATCTATATAAAATAAACTATTCGCTAACTTGATACCTTATAAGTCTGCAATAAAGACAATTATTTGAAATCATTGCTAATCTACCTAAATTATGATAATTATATGCGGGATTTGCATCATTCTTCAATTTATCATTTTTCATAAATATTCTAGGGTCGAAATACATTTTAAATAGAAAATAAAATATAGAATTATCCATTTAAAATATATAAATTTTTATTTGCCAGCCAAAAGCGTACCATCCTGTATGTCCAAAAATATTTTTAAAGTATGCCTTTTTTAAATCAATATAACTTTTATTTAAAAACTTTTTGTGTGTCTACAACAAAAATCTAAATACCCAATAATTATGCACCAGTGGGACCCTGAATATCAAAATATGGATTTACTTAATAATAATTGTTCAAATTTACCTTTAGGAATATTTTTATTTGGAACTCGAGCTGTATTGTCATAATAAATCAATTTAGTTATTAAAAAAATACCTGAACTTTTAATTAATAATTGCCTACTACAAATACAAATTTTTATTAAAAAAAAAGAAAGATCTTAATTTTGACACTTTTTTGACAATGAACGGAAGACTGAATGAAGTAAAATTTCCCGTTAACATCAAAGAAGTATAAATTTAGTTTTTCTGTCCCTTACTTATCAGCTTCTTTTTAAAAGTTATAAAATGTTCGCTAATATCTAAACCTTCGTTATTTATAAATAATAATGCAGTTCTGATGTTTATTATTAGTAATTAAGTTAATTCAGTACATAATATCAAATGTTTTCAGTATTTTTGAAAATGTATCACAATAGTTGTGCCTTAGGTGCTAAATTGACAAAGTAAATGCTTAATAGAAAGTTTCATCTTTGTCACTCTCGTTCATTTCTAAGAAATCGTATATTTCAGATCTTAATTTTACGTTTCGAAAAACGTTGGTGTTGGCAAGCTTCTCGTTTGTCATAGGGCTGGTATCTTTTCCAGACATAAACCATTCGGTTATAGCGTTTTTTTCGTAAGTGTGCCCGTCACTACACGTAACTGGTTCTCTCATTATTTCATGCGTTATAGGACATAAATACTCGTGTGGAATATCCATATAATTGGCCGCTTCCATTTTCAGTTCTCCATTTTTTAACCATCGAATTTCTTTTATAAATTTCTCCTCTTGCTCTTTGTCTGAAAATAAATTATTATCATTACAGGGTCCGGAAAAAATCGGGTTTATTCTGAATACCTAAGTCTAAACCTGCACAAATTTGCTCTTCCGGAATTGTTAACAATCTTTTCCCATCCAGACAACAGCTTGTAATAAATGAGACTAATTCTGGCATCTCAACATTTTTCAACCATCTGATGATATCTGAAGTAGTCCAATTAATGACCTGTTTTGATCTGTATTGGATTTTGTCAGCTACCGCTGATTGGAATACCTAAAATCACAAAGAGTAACCAGAAATTTAAAGTGTTCTTATATTTATCTGTCAATACAATAAAATTCTAAGGCCCACATTTACTCGACGCCTAGGATTACACATCTTCATCACCCAGACAGCACACAGAGTCTAATAGACGTCCTTAAAAATGTTCACAGTCGTATTTCGAACATCCAGTGCAAGTACTATTAGAATCATATTTAATAATACATTGTTATTGGTTATAATGGGAAAACTCCTGGAACATATAGTGGCGGAAAGATTAAGGTTGGAGCTGGAAAACAAGGAAAACCTGTCCGATAGGCAGTTTGGTTTTAGAAAGAAACGAACGAACTACTGTTGACGCTATAAGAGAGGCTCAAAAAATAGCAGAATTGGAAATGGAAAGAACCAAAGTACGGACTGCTTGGTGTCTTTTGAAGATATTTCCACTTCCACGAAAAAAAATAATTAACAGTGCTGTTCCTAAAGTGGCGCTGGGAAACAGTAACAAATCCTACACAGAACACGAGGCTATTGACCTTAGCAGTCGATGCCGATGACACCAAATAAAAAAAATACATTGTTTAATGCCACAGCGGTTTATGGCGCCGAACGCTAAGTGAGGAGTCGTGCGTTCTTTTCTTGGTCAGGTCAAGAATTTCATTTAAATAAAAAAATAATAATAATCTAAAATAAATGGTACTGTGTGGCGAGTTATGCAATGACAGGTTGTGTATTAGATGGAATTATGTTAACAACTCTGACCTTTGATGCCTGGCTGAGGTCATGCCCTTACATAGGCATGTCATAGAGACGAAAAAAAGGGAAGCGGTTCGTCTCAAGTTTAAACTAGCTATTCTAAGGTTTCAAGTAATGCAATGTCATTAGTTATCGTTTAACATTTACTACTTGGACATGCACTTCAGCAGAAAAAGCTCTAGCTACATGGAAAGAAGCATTAGAAAAAGCATATCCTGATATTTGATTGAGAATAGTTCAACACACTGAAAAAATAATACAGGATTGGTGGAAGTGGTATTATTAATTTGGATGAGGATGACAATGATGAGGATTTCCTAGATTAGTGAGCATTCCATAAAAATCAGCTTCGAGAGAAGAAGAAAAGTCCATAGTCTAGTTAGAAATAACTAAATATAACAATAACAAATGCTGATAATCTGTACAGCATGTAACAAAATGGAAACGTCAATGATGAGAAAATTTTCTCGTTGGTAGTGAATCTAAGCCAAGATATCGGTAGCAGAAAAGAAAGGGATAATTAAAAAATATATTATTACAAAATTGTCCTGTTAGAATATTTTTATATTAGTATGATTTCGTCTACTACAATAAAAATTACAAAACTATATAACTATAAATTTTTATTTGAATCTTAAAACACTTTCGTACTATTGAAAATGCTTTATAGTCAAGATTTTATTGTTCTTTAGACTAGCAGTTCAATTTTACATCCATTCCAATCTTTAATCAAGTTATAACTTAATTAATAGCATTTTAAAGTTGAAAGCACATTAGATGCACTTAAATTCTAGCTAGGAAAAAGAAAGTGTGACGTTACTGTCTTCCTAAAGTAAAAATACTTTATTTTTGAATTTTAAACAATTCTAACAATTTTTTTGTTTATTTGTTTTAACTTGTAAAAGTTTATTAGTTGTAAAATTTAAGTTGTGTTTTCAACTAAAAAGATTCTCCTAATTTAATTCTCAATTTTCGGAATAGGACTTAAAATGCTGATAGAAATTCAGATATAACATAAAAAAAAATCTTACCAACTGTTGCGGTAACTTCCATAACCATAAGGTTTTGTCCAAACAACCGGTTGCTAAAAGTGAACAGTCATCATTAAAGTAGCAAGAAGTGACTATCGAATCATGATCCAAAACAAAGAGACAAGCGGCACTGTAAACGGACCATATTCTTGCCTGCCTATCGGTTCCAGTCGAACATACAAATTCACTTACAACTTGCGAAAATCTGACGCAAACAACGTGCCCGCCATGGCCTTGCAAAGAACGCCACAATTTTACTTCGATGTTTTCTAAAGCCAGAGTATCACATTTCTAAAAATTTATATCAAAATTTCTTAGAATTACTTTTAATTCAACTTACATTAGGAATAGATATTCTCCATAATTTAACTAAACTATCATTACCGCAAGTAGCTAACAGATAAGATTGAGCACTGATAGTTAAATTTGGTATAGGTTCCAGATTATGGGATATATCACAGTCTTGAATGCCATATTCATGGGCATCTTCTTTTACGTATAGGCACATGTGGGTCTGTAATGACCATATTCTAAAATCGGCGTTTGGCGATACGGTTACAGATACTTTTCCGTCGGGTGAAATACTTGCAGCAGAAATTGTATCCAGATGTCCCTCAAATGTTCTAAAACAAGTTATAGTTTATGGAAAGTGTAATTTACCTGTTCCAGAATTGGATAATCTTTTTTGGAGAGATGTAACTATTGAAATTGGTGAAATGTTTGTTTATATTATGATGATCCTGACATGACAAGCTAGAGGAACTTATCCTAGAAGAATGACAGTTTATCAAATAAAATAATTTAATCCAAAGGAACATTGTATTTATTATCAATAGAATTAATCCAGCACAGTGAGCAGTGACAGGATATCAGCATAAAGGAAAGATAGGAGTCAAGGGCAGTACAGGAATTCAGGAGGTGACAGTGTTTGAAACAACAAGAAAGCATCAAAGTTGAAGAACATAATTAAAATTGGTGGTCACAGTAATACTTTAGGTTTGTCATTCATACCATTCATCCTTAAAATGCAACAAGGGTGGGTAGCGTAATTAAGCATCATCAAGAGGCGAGATACAAGATTGAAACATTTCAGGCTACTTCAGTAATGATAAAATATAAAACTTATGATGTTATGGTCACTTCAACATATTGCCCTCCAAGACATACCGTTAAAAAAGAACAATACCTAGACTTTCTCAATAGTTAAGGACCTAGATTGATCATTGGAGCTCTACATTAACAACAATTCAACTGAAAAACCAATGGACATAATTCAGATCATTCTTCTCACTCTTAGCGCCACCATTACCAAAATGGAAAGCGCTCTTAGACTAATAAACAGGAGAACAGACTGGCAAGGCTTTAGACTGGTCCTTGGAAAGAAAATTCATATTTCGTTCCGTTAAAAGCAATCCAACAGCTATGAAAAAGTAGAACAACTTGTGTCCAGCATCATGAGATAATACCTTAGGAAATAACTATCTCAAAGAAATAAGGGACCTATCGCTGCAAAAATAAAATTACGGAGAAAATGGCATCAGATCAGAACTCCATCAGATAAAACCAACTTTAACAAAGCAGTTAAAACGAATCAAAAATTAATCTATTAGGGAGTTGACAAACTATAAAGACACTGATTATTTTCTATGGAAAGTCAGAAAAGGCCCACTGTGAAGAATGCTCCAATGAGGAATGCAGATGACAGCTGGGCTAGAAATAACATACTAAAAGTTAACAGACTCGCAGAGCATCTACAAAATATCTTCCAACTTAATGATAGAGAAAAATTACCGAACTGGGATCTTCCAGACAGAGATGACCCAATCATCAAACCAAAGGATATAAAAACAAATATTGATCCTAAGAAAGCTTGCTGGCTTTAATTTAATTATTCTAACTCAGCAAAATGCTAACTCAGCAAGATGCAAGATTTCACTGAAAGGTCCATGTTAAAAAGAAAAGGCAAGAGTTAGGTATAAAATACAAGAATATGTACTGGTTACTTGGTAGCCATTCCAGATAACAAAATTCTTAAATCAATTTGGACCTATGGTATTCAGCTCTGTGGTTGTGCTAATAATTCAGAGATTTGGTGCATTAGAAACAGCGACCTTCATCGAGATCTTCAGAGAGATATAACCCGACCCGAAAGAGATTTTTCCTATACACTGAGAACTGAAATATCTTATATGGATAAATATCCACCGCCCCAAAGTGAGAACGTTTCTATTAAAATACTTCAACATTTTTCCTAAGTCATTTCATTATTGCGTTTTGCTCCTAAGCGTCGTCTTTGGCCTTTCGATTATTCTGAAGATGATTACGTCACCCTTGCTCACTGAGATAGAGCTCACCTTCAAAAACCAATAGATAATCTCACATAAGTCCCAACTTGTCGTAACGAAGGGGATGATGACGCAAAGCGACGCTACCAATCCGTCTCTACTCTTCGCGTTAAAACGGAATTTTTTTCTCATCTCACCAAAGAAAAAGTTTTCCAAAACATTAAGAAGTCGCACCGCCATTTCGAAATTTCGTATCAACCTCTAATTAAATTATAAATACTACTGAAAATGTGATTAGTTTTCCAACAAACATTAACAGATGTTTTAGTAAATAAATTTACTATGTTCATGTGATGTACAAAATATTTATGTGAACTTTAGCAATAAAAGTATTAGTGGCCACAGGTAAATTTGAATTTCAACAACTTAAAGCGAAACAATCAACTCTGATATACAGTCCACCAATAAAATAGATCTAAATTATTAATAGGGTGTATGGCGTTCAAATCTAAATGTCATACTCCTACAGTTTCTATATAAATAAAAACTACTACCTTTTAATAAAGAAACTAAACTTACGCAATCTTTTCTGATGTATTAACATTCCACAATACGGCCTTTTCATCGTCGCCAGCAGTTAGCAACTTGTTGTTATCTGGACTAAATCGACATGACTTAATGGATAAGACATTAGTTGGCAGTAAGTGTAACTTATCGCCTGTCTGTAACAATGGTTAAGAGTAATATTAATTTAACCGAAGATAAAAGCATCACAACAATACGAAAATAAAAAAAAAATAGCGATATCAACATTTATATATTTGGAGAGAGTCGTTTTTATTTTTTTAAGGAACTTGCAATATTTTCTTTATTAAACTGTTGCACAGCTTTTATCGCGGGCTTTGAGCGCGGCGACCGAATCAACGAATCACCGTAACGAAAAAAACCTAACACCCCCCACTCCGACCGGCACAGCGGTGCGACGTTAAACAATATTAACTTTTCATTTATTCAATAAAAGAAAATCGAAAAATCGAAAGATCAAAAAATCGAAAAATCAAAAAATCGAAAAATTTAAAAATCGAAAAAGAAATTCCGTGACGAAAATAAACCTAACACCCCCCACTCCGATCGGCACAGCGGTGCGGCGTTGAAAGCCGTGCATCGTCTAACGTCGTTTCAGTTCGGCAGACTTCGGCACGGTGTTTGTGTGCGTGCGACTAGACGTATGCGTGTAGACTAGCTGCTACCTATCATAACTGATTCTATCTCTTTTAGATACAATTTCGGAAAAATTAAATTTGAAAATTAATAATGATCCACAAGAATCCACAACAAAATATGAGACCACCATTGACTCGGTATTTTCCAGATATTTAGAGGATATCAAGTCTCAAACGTAAGTTTCTTATTTCAGTTACCATAAACCTATAGTTTCAATGATAAAATTTCCTGAATAACCTACATGTACTGTAAGATAATAAAAATATTTTAATCAATATTAACTTTTCGTATCGGTCACCACGCTCAAAAAATGTAACTTGAATTAATATCAAAGAAAAAACTTGAATTAATATCAAAGAAAAAAAAAATACTGCTTAAATAAAATAAATAAATAAATAAATAATTATAATTGCATAAGTTGATAGAAAATGCTATGCAATAGCTTTACCGCGGCAATCCCCGAGTGCCACACGTATTTTTTACTTTCCTATCTATATACAGATATAAGAAAAGTATAGGAATCATGATTTTTTTCGACCTCGAGTTTTCGACGGATTTTTACGTTTTGAGGTCCCCTGAATCCGTTTTGACTATTTTTCCGATTATGTCTGTGTGTGTGTCGCATAACTCATGAACCGATACACAGAAAAACACTAAATTTCAAACTTAAGCTTTGTTCCAGCGTCCAATGTGCTGATTAGATTTTGGGCAGTGGGGTACTTTATAGGTGGTCATTTTTATATTTTATGGAATATATCTGTTATTTAAGTTTAAGGAAGAAAATTCTTCAAATAAAAGTTACTTCTTAATATTATTATCTATAATTTTTGTTCTATACAAAATTTTCCTAAAATGGTCCGTATTCGAGAAATTTGACAGAATGTAAAAAAATATTTTTTTATAAAAATTGTTCAAATAAAAGTTGTTTATAATATAATTCTCTATAATTTTTATCCTATACATAATTTCTCTAAAATAAACCGTATTCGAGATATTTGAGAAATGTGTAAATTTCGAAATTTGAAGAAAACTCAAAAACGGATAAAGAAAAAAACATTAAATTTTATGCTTAAGTTTTATTTCGGCCTGACGTGAAATGATTAGATTTTGGACAAAGTCGGAACATCTGGGGGGGTACTTTATGGGAGGCCGTTTTTATATTTTATGGAATATATCTGTTATGTTTGGAGAATAAATTTGTTCAAAGAGAGCCTTGGTTTCTTTGAACACTTCGTCGCGGTGAGCGGACAGTCCGTCAACCGTCGCGTTTTGACGATTTTATCCAACCAGGGTATTTAAATGGGAATGGTTTTCTTGAATCCGCTTAGTTGAACAGGACGGCGTCATGCCGCTGATTTGTCGCGAAGAGTCGGTTGATATCTGTTGAGTTTGATATCAGCGGAATCGTCGGCGTGTGCGGAGACTATATTGTTATTAATTTTAAAACAATGAGTGACAAATTCACACATACAGATGACATCATGACTTTATTTTTAGGTTTCTTGGAAATTATGTCCTTTATAAAACTCAACACGAATTCAAAAAGATCTGTAGAAAGTCTAAAATACTCCCTAAATTTGGTTTCATTTCCAAAAAGCCTCCGCTGCACAGTGATATTAAAGGCACCTTCTGTATCGCGACACAAAAACAACTCATTCACTGGCTTATTGGAAACTTTGACGGCTGCAATTGCCAGTTCCTCTTGTTCTTCCTCTTCCAACAATAATAACAATGCAAATAATTTATTTGCAACCATTTTAGTACCTTTCGTTTACATTCATAATACATAAACAGCACGTACAGACATAGAGAAAGTATCATTTTCTATATTTTTTAACAAACCACCTCGGGCGAAAATTGCTGTCCTCAGCGGTCGACGAACTCCCCGCTCACCGCGACGGAGTGTTCAAAGAAACCAAGGCTTCAGAGTTACTTCTAATAACTAAAAGTTGTTTGCGATATCGATCTCTATAATTTTTGTTTATACATGATTTTCTAAAATGGACCGTAATGGAAAAATTGTAGGAAAAGTGCTAAATTTAAATTTTTCAGTATTTTCATTTTCAATGAACATCTATAGAAAAATGTTTCGAGGTAGATGTATGTGGAAAATGTATATATTTATTTTCTCCTCTAAACATTTATGGAGGTGCTGCAATAGGTTGTACAAAATAACCGGAAAAAGCCTGTAATAACTAGATAAGAAAGTCATGTGTTGGACACATCAGATTTTTTTCATAGGGAAATACACCTACGGTTAGGTTAGATAGATCTAAATAGGTTGGTTCTACTTTTATATATATATTTATATTTTTTTTCATTGGTCAGAACTGATCCGGGTCAGAACTCATCCGGGTCAGAACTGATCCGGGTCAGAACTGATCCGGATCAGAACTCATCCGGGTTAGAACTGATCCGGGTCAGAACTCATCCGGTTCAGAACTCATCCGGGTCAGAACTCATCCGGGTCAGAACTCATCCGGGTCAGAACTCATCCGGGTTAGATCTCATCCGGGTTAGAACTGATCCGGGTCAGAACTCATCCGGGTTAGAACTCATCCGGGTCAGAACTCATCCGGGTCAGAACTCATCCGGGTCAGAACTCATCCGGGTCCGAACTGATCCGGGTCCGAACTGATTCGGGTCAGAACTCATCCGGGTCAGCATTGATCCGGGTCAGAACTCATCCAGGTCAGAACTGATCCGCGTCAGAACTCATCCGGGTCAGAACTTATCCGGGTCAGAACTTATCCGGGTCAGAACTGATCCGGGTCAGAACTGATCCGGGTCAGAACTGATCCGGGTCAGAACTGATCCGGGTCAGAACTCATCCGGGTCAGAACTCATCCGGGTCAGAACTTATCCGGGTCAGAACTCATCCGGGTCAGAACTGATCCGGGTCAGAACTGATCCAGGTCAGAACTCATCCGGGTCAGAACTGATCCGGGTCAGAACTCATCTGGGTCAGAACTCATCCGGGTCAGAACTCATCCAGGTCAGAACTGATCCGCGTCAGAACTGATCCGGGTCAGAACTGATCCGGGTCAGATCTGATCCGGGTCAGAACTCATCCGGGTCAGAACTCATCCGGGTCAGAACTCATCCGGGTCAGAACTGATCCGGGTCAGAACTCATCCAGGTCAGAACTCATCCAGGTCAGAACTGATCCGGGTCAGAACTCATCTAACCTAACCGTAGGTGTATTTCCCTATGAAAAAAATACACTACAATATATTCAAATTATGTATTTTTATTTTCCAATCTGTATACAGATATAAGGAAAGTATAGAAATCATGATTTTTTCGACCTCCAGTTTTCGACGAATTTTTACGTTTTGATTATAATAACTAGATAGGAAAGTCATGTGTTGGACACATCAGATTTTTATTTATTATTACTACGATGTTAATTGACCGAATTGGTTGAATCCTGATGGTCTAACGGCTTACTGCTATATTGCCTTTTTACCACGAGGTCTAAGGCCGTGGGAGGTTATTCGGTTTTTAGAATACAATTTTTTTGTTACTTTTTATATCTCGTCTATTTTTTAAGAAATTAAAAGTAAATTTCCTCTTACTTCCCATTACTTCCTATTAATCTTAAAAGTATCATATCCATTTCCTTCATCTTTATTTAATTAAATTAGTTGTCAATTCTTTTACTGTTCTCTTTTGTGAAACAATAGACTGGACAGAGAGAGATACCAGTAATGAGAAATATATTTTATGACAGAAAGGCTTTATTTGTTTAATGAGTATGAAAATGATTTGCCTTTAGTATTGTCCTCAATACTATATGAATTTTAGATTATATCAAATTTTTATTCATTATAACTATTTTCAACACAGAAAAGTAGTATACCTTACATAACGTATATTTGTGTGATTTCGTAATGGAAAGATTTTGCAATACATTTTATTTTAAATAAAGAAAATTTATTAATTTCTAAAATAATAAATTTAAAGAATAAAAACCCTATAAAAACGTACCAGTACATCCCATATAATAGTACAACCATCTAACGAACATGAAGCTAACATTTTTCCATTACTGGAAAATTCTACATAATTTATTGCAAACGTATGTCCTTCGAATGGAGAAAAACAAAGTTCTTCTATCCAATTAGGTTCATTAATAATTTTAAAAATGTGAATCAACTTATCCCTAGAATATAATAAATTACGATCTAAAACGATTAATTAGGTAGACTTGGCTCACTACTTGAAAAGTGCTTTTGTAGTTCTCTCACTTAATACAATGAGAGAAAGAGAGACAGACATAAAAATATATAGAAAAAAGCTCCTTTCAAGTAGCCAGTGAAATTTACAAATTGCAAAGAAATAATTTTCTTTGCTGTAACATTTGATGGTCTGTCACTTGTCAACAAAAAAACAAAGAAGAAGAAACAACATAAAAATTGTCAAAATGGCATTACTGCAATTATTAGTCTGATATCCTATAGGCCAGCTATGATGAGATTACGCCTTTAAAATATATAGTATAAATATTTTTAGACGGAGAATCTCTGCAATAGTTTTATGTTTAAATAGTTTTTTTAAGAATTTATTTAATAAATCATGGCCACCATTATATGGCCACTATTAAGAGAGTTATTGGAATTAAAGTTTTTTGTTCAAAAAATGTTTAAGAACGACTTTATTTAAATAACCTTAAAATTCATTTAATTTTAGTTATTGGAAGTAGAACAATTTAAAGTTAGATTAACAGTTATTTATTTTTAATCTAAAAAAAATTTGTAAGATACTGTTTATTTCCTAATCTAAGGTTTATTTTGTATATTTATTTTTTTAAAGAATTTAAAATAAATTTTCCAGAACAAATTGGAAGGTACGTAAAAATTCATAAAATGTTAGAAGCCGCTAAATAAAGTTAACCTTTAGCACATACAGTATTTTTGAATAAATAAGGAGAAGTATTATTTAATTATGGTTTTCCTTATTAAAAATTTCAAGTGCGCATTATTAGATGCCAAAATAAAGACGCCCTTAATACTGCCTACACTTTGGATCACGGCCAAAACGTTCGACGGTTCAGACACAAACATAAATTTTAAAAGTTGTATTTGACTATGAAAAAAATACTTATAAATAGTTTCAGAAGTGTTGTTTTTAAGTATTTTCCAATTTCAATCTTAAATATAATAAATAGTAATACTGCCTACAACCTAAAATCGAGTCAATTGGCTTTATATCTAACTATATTTTGATTATAAATTTTCATACTTGTTTAATACACGGTTAATTTTAATGCTTGACAAGTGATAAACGATCAACTGTTACAATAATTACAAAGTTAGAATTACATTCACACTCTTACCCTGAACCAATAGCCAATAAATCTTTTCCATAAAAGCAGCAACTGTTGATAGCTCCTTCTGCAATATCATCAATCTTATCTAATAGTGTAACCGTTTCAAGATTTTCGTTGTTGTTCTCGAACAAACCATTTTCTCTCACTTGTTCGTTACTATGTAAATTATATTGATCTAGTTCCGAATCAAAAGTAATATTTCCAGTCATATCCCATACTATAATGCTTTTGTCGTTGGAACCTACAAGTTTTTTAAAATTATATACTAACATATTTGTAATTATTAAGTGAAAGCGTAGGATTACAAAAAAAAAAAAAGGTAGTTGGAATTTTTTTTTAGAAAACTAGAGAGGATAGCAAAGAATTACCGACTGTATATATACTGTATAAGGGGGAAAAACAGCACTAAATGCATCCAAGGATGAGAAAATAAGCTAAAAAACATTTGAAGAAGAATCAAATACTCCTGCAATATACAGTGTATTATGCTATCACTTTAAAGGCTCCACAATCATGAAATATTAAATTATAATATGGAAAACGAAGAAGTGAAAACAAGCTGCTATAATTACCATTCAATAACTTCTATCTATTACATTAACTTGAGAAGACTCAACTTCATCTTACAACTGTTTCTGCTCCCCCTTGATCTTGATAAAAGACGGCCATGAACAAAGAAACTAGTTGACGTAAAGACAGAAAAAAGATACGAAAAGTCGATGAGATTTAAGAGGAGATTTACGTCCAACATAATTATCAGGTTGATGAAAGGTGAACATTCCCCAAGAGACAGTATGTAATGTAACGTAAAATTAAAGAAATCTGTACAGAAATTACCTGAAATTATGACGGACAGATCTTTGGAAATAGCTGCACAATTTACGTATCTACTATGCCCTTGGAGGGAAGCAATACAGTTTCCATCGTTATCCCAAACTTTTACCAATTTGTCGACACTGGTAGAAACCAAATAATCACCACTATTATTGTATCTTATACAAGTAACCGATGATGTATGTCCATCGTATACGTCAAAAAGATCTAAAGTTACTTCGCTAATCGTTGGCGATTTCTCTTTGACTACGCTTTTGGCGATGATTGTCCATATTTTGATTTCGTTGCTATTTCCACTAGAAGCAAGCCTGTATTGTCGGATCAGCGGATTATTTTCTAAAATAAAAATAATTTGATTACTGTTATTAGATAACCTTTAAAACAATAAAATACTAATTTATTAAGATGCTACGAAATAAAATAGCCTGTGGCGGCTGGTGAGGGAGGGCACTAGGCGCCGCCCACCCTGCGAGTCATCTGCAAATTAGTATTTCCATATACTTAATCAGTTATTCTATTTAACTCCTACTAAATGTTTTAACAATAAAAGAGTCAAACACCAATAAATGCAATAATAAAGTTTGTAAGCGAACAATTTAATTAGCTACGGACGAGCCGGACCTGTACAATACGAATAACACGGGTGTATCATATACGTGTTATATCGGCGTAGTACCAGCAGCCCATAGCGAATCGCGGGATGGTTGCCATGGTTATTGACGTTAACGTGTAGATCGCGGAGTATTCGGAAGAAATTATGCATTTTGGATTCATGCGTTGGGGCCGTTGGCGAGCGCAGCTCAGACAGCCCATCTCGGGATCGCTTTGTGGTTTGTTTTTCTATGTTTATCTAGTGTGGTGTTGTTTATTTAATTATCTTCGTAATAAGTATTTATCACGAAAGTAACAAAATTAAAAAGCGTCGTATTCAGCTGCTAAAGTTCAAATGATTTTTTGGTGCCCTTATACTCAGCCCTCCTTATAACACAAGTCACGAGTCGCCACTGATAATAGCTATTTATGAAACCAGTTATTCATGAAACAAGTATTTATGTAATAAGTGAATTTCTGCGGGACGAGTAGAGCGCGGTCCTGCAACATGAACGAATTATATGAAACGGCGTTTCGTAACGTACAATATTTTTTTTAATTTTGACAGGATTATTTATAAAATTGTATTCTGGTAAAACATTACTGCTATATAGGCAACCCATATTACTTTTTTAAGGCACTCGGTGGTTCACTGCGGTAATAGGTGAATTATAGGGTATTTATACTATTAGGCGGTGAATTATTATATTATCATTAAATTGGTGCATCACCTCTTATAATGAAAATACGTTTCACCGTTTATATCTCGCTTAAATGTTAGTTAACAACAGAAAACTTCGAACTTACTATCAAAAATGATATGTTTACTAATATCAACACAAAAGACACCTAAATCTTGAGCATTATCTGCTTTGGCAACCGGTACGCACGTTGCATCGCTTGTAGTATCGATTAAATGTTGAGTATTCCAAACCAATACGATTTCTAAAGAACATGCAGTTACTAAATAGTAAGAGTCTGGAGTGAAAGCTAATGACTGTGTAGTCCCTTCGTGATCGAAAATAGTTCTGAAAAATGAGTGAAAGTATCAATAAAATAATCATTGTATTATTAATTTTATTACTTAATTAAACTCCTGTGCACTAAATCCCAAATACATACAGCTCCATTATCTCCCGCTGTTATTAAAACGGCACTGTCAGGAGAAAATCTAAAAAAAGTGCTAAATTATACACAAGAACAGTAAATTAATACAGATAATTTTATTATTATACACTAATCAATGAGTTGTTAAAGCAAAATACACATTTTTTTTCTTGAATCGTTAACCTCGTGTACTGTTAGGCCTCGTTACTGTTTCCCATCGCCAACAGCATTGTTTGATCCCAACAATGTTCGAGCGAGGAATTCTGCCTAGGCTAAAAGTGCTGGATTTGGGAATTTCTTAAAGAAGGGAAAAAATTGGATTTGACTTCTAAGAAATTAATTTTGTTTAATATTAATGGTTTATTAGTATATTTTAATACAATTATTTCAGTTACTAGTAGGATAGGATAGGATAACTCTCCTTATTATGACTGGCCCCTCTTTCAGTATATCTTACTATCTTTATATGAGTCAATCAACGACAGTATTGTAGAAATAGAATGATTTTATTGATCAGATTGCTCTCGACTGGATCAGTTTTGTAAAATTTTATTGTCAAGTCCATATTCAAAGAAATAGAATATCTTGAAGATTTCTTTATGTGTAACATATCAAAATTGCATTCACAGGATTTAAATAATTTACCATAACAATAAATATGAGGCCCCGCATATAGTACTATATGGTTTAAAGAACTGAAGTATATTTTTAACTTAAAACATAATGATGTTGATGATGTATAGTTCAGCTACTAATATAAAAATATTATGTTTTATGATTGAATTTTTATTAAATCTTATTTTCTATTGTTGATACACTAAGGAGAAGTAGAGAACTAGATTGAAGCAGATCAAGAAAAGTGTGGGATAATTCGACAGAAGCAGTATTGAGAAAAAATGAAACTCAAATTCAGGGATAGAAATTGCAAACAACAAAATTTATGACTAAGAACAATTAATTGCTGTGTAGTTATGAATATCTAATCTACACAATAATCTACCTATGTAATAAATAATTATAATAATATTCTTTGCATATTTTATTGATAACCAACGGTAGTGAACCATTCGCGTTGATAAAGCTCTTAATGTTTGAAATGATATCTTTAAAACAGACTTAGGTATACAATAAGTTAACTTTTCAATCCTGACTTCAGGAGAATTTTATAAAAACACAATGCTATTGAATAGAGAGAAATAGAATAAAACTACGCCGACTGGGGACCACAATATCCCATTCTTGTCATCAAAAGAGCGTAGTTAAACCGATTACTCTCGTTAATCATTGCACGTTCAAGTATAATTAAGAGTATTATCTTTATTTTGCTAGATGCGTCGGTTAACGTAATGCATAGACTAATAAAAACATACCTGCACACTCTAATAGCATCGCCATTAACTTGCGTTATTGTGTACAATTTTGCACAATTATGTATGTTCCAGAGAACAGCGGTACCATCTACCGAGGCGCTTGCTAGTAAAGAACCTTGCGGGGATACTCTAACGCAGGTGACTTGATACTTGTGTCCTCTCAAAGGCGATGATGGTCTTTCTTGATATCCTAAACCGACTTTCCAGTCCCAAATTCGTATTGTTTTATCACTAGAAACTGAAACGTCAAATATCTGTTTTTGAGTACAAGTAAATTTTTTTACCTTGAACCTGTTACTATGGTGGATGTTGACGCAAAATCACAGCAACTGACATCGCTAGTATGTCCTTCTAATATCTGTAAAATTTTGTGATCGTTAGCTACGAAAGATTTCGCCATCTGAAAAAAAAAAAAAGAAAATTAATGACATATTTCAACATTTAACAACTGGTTGCGGCCATACTAATATTAAGCATATTTTTATTAGTAACGGTATAGTAGTTTGTGCAACAAGAGTTGATATTGTGGTTAATCCACTCGAATTGTACAGTAAATTATTTCTACAACCAATTAACGAAAATCTACAAATTTAAAAAATTATTTTAGAGATTATTAAGATAAGCAACTAGGTATTTTAAAAATAATTTAACTTTTACTAATTTATTAAATAAAATAAACGTACAAAAATAGTAGTTTATGTTATAAAGACGAAAAGTTGAGTTTTTCGGGCGACCACGAATCAAAAAATAAACTTTTCATCCGTGTTTAATTCATTATATTTTATTCGAATGTGCTTATAGATATTAAGAAAATATAGAAAATTAAATCCGAAATGATATTATTTCCAATTTTTCTTAAGACGATAAGAATAAGATAAGACATGTCAGTGTGCTTATGTCAAATCAATTTATAGTTTATTTAGTTTTCTCTTATTCAATTAAAATAGTTATTTGCGTAATAAGAGCGAAAAGTGATACTTTGTCGAAAGCGGCAACGAACTTTTCGCTCAAAATGAACACAAGATTTTTTCTACGATCACATTATTTTAAGAAGTAGATATAAAAACTGAAAATGTGTCATAAGTAGTTGTATAATGTGTTGCTTATATTTACGTTATTCATGAAAAAAGGAGTTTATATTCAAAGTCAATGTTAACTTGAATATAAAACAAACTACATACAAATAACTTGAAAATAATTTATTTAAAAGAAATATTAATGTATTAAATCTAATTTAAATTAGGCGAGCGACAAAGCTGTCAAGTTTTCCGCTCGGCGATCGACAAAGGGGTCTAATCTGTAACAATTCCTTTATATTTAACGGCCTTTAAAAATATTGGCGACCTTTAAAAATATGTTTGTATTCGTTAATTTACTTCTGTCATTATTTAAACAGATTTCTTTAAGATAGTCCTCTAATGTATTTTAAAGTTCCGTTTAAATAATGACAGAAGTAAAGAAGAAAATATTTTTAAAGGCCGTTAAATATAAAGGAATTGTTACAGAATAGACCCCATAGTTGGTCACTTAATGTCAGTTCGCGGAAAACGTCAACTTTGCGGTTGATTTTCGATTTTCAAATTTGATGTACATGTGGATTATAGGCTACTATTTTCCAATATCGTTATCGCCAGCAGTATTAAAAGATAAACTGAAAATTAAACGAAATGTTTAGATAGCAAAACAATTCGTAATTAAAAAGTATATATGTTAGTTTTAATAAAATTAAAAGAATTTATAAAACAAATAAAATATTCGTTTATTATTATATATTTTTATCGCTTGAACTAAAAAAAAAAATATATATATAATCAATAAAAATCAATAATAAAATATAGGCAGGCAACAGTATTTACGGGAAAATGTATGAGAAGTTGCCTAAGTCTAATAAGTTGTCTTTGGAGATTTAACCTATCCTATCAAAATAAAAAATTACCAACAAATAATAGGTAAAGTTAAAATGTATAAACAGAAGGATTGTTATTTATATTTTCATTTTTGTTCGAAAGAAAACATTGAATGAATGATTAAAACAGGTTTCCTATCAGTAAGGCACAACATATAGCATTTCAGCCACATACAATATTCAAAGGCAGAAATCTAGTTCTAGCTGAACATTTAAGATTAAAGGGATGTTGAAGAACATCGTAAAATGATAACTTATTGTTTATTTAAAACCTTTCAAGTTTATAAGGTCTACTATTTCCAGTATTACTGTTATTATTGCAAAAATAATAGTATATTGTTCTCCTTTTCGATTATAGTATCTGTCCGAAAAATTACGTTTTTAATCTAATTCTAATGTGTAATGCAGATTTGACACATATCGCACTATTTAGTCTAACGGAAAGTGCCCTATATCCCTCGCGTGTGGATAAGAATCTACTTTCCACCCGAGTGTGAACATCTACTTTCCGCACGTCTGTCAAATATGTCAAACGCGTAATTTCTATTTTGATCTAGGTAATGTTCATATTAATAGTAAATTAGATTTGATGATTAAATCGTGAATATTGATTTTTATACGAGGATTTTATCATTCTAAATATTTATTTTTAAGAAATCATTAAAATAATTTTAAAGTAGCATTATTTTGTTTTTTTTTTTTTGCTTTTTAGCTCAGTTCACAGAGCGCTGAACTTTATCAACTTTGCATGTTTCCACCGCTCCGCGACGCGAGTTCAATCCCCGCGTCGGAAGCAATATTTTTTTTTAAAAAAATTGAAAATTTAAAAAATATGACTATTGTTATTTATTTTAAATAGGTACATGTAACATCTACAGTTAATTTTTTCGCTATTAATTTTATACTATTTTGATTAATGTCCAGAAAAAAAATTCAAGTAATTAAGTAGGTAATAGTTATTATTTGTTGTATTTAAAAAAATGAACTAATGAAAAATATTTTAATATTTTTTATTACCTAATTTTATTTTACCGTTATTAATTTCGACAAAACACAATAGGTAAACAATTTAAAAATTATTTAATAAGGCATATGAAAAAAACCAGCCACATTTTGATTGAACCTTTATAGCCAGATTACTTGGGTTTACATTTTGTTTGATACAATTATTTTATGGTCATAGGAAAAATTTTGTACATCACTTGTGTGAAAGTGATTTTTTTCACACTCGTAATGTAATATACTATTTTTATGATTTTCTTATTTTAATTTTTTTTGTTTTTTTTTTTTTAATTCCTAATCTAACAATTTTTTTATTTTTTCGTTTGTTGAATCAAAACTTTTTTTAAGGTTCTTTCTATTTACATTTTCTGTTTTTTATAGAAAGAAATTTAAAACTTTTAGACTCTGATAGTTAAAACTTCTTTGTCTTATAGACATGGGCATAAAAGGCGGGATAATGTTCTCCCTTTGTCTTAAAATCTTTAGGAAAAATCAAGCTATATACGGGGATAAATCCTATTGATTCTAAAAAAAATTTGATTGAAAATAGAGGTTAAAGGGGTCTGTGAAGAGTAATATAGAATGCCAAGCAAAATATATCCTCATTCTAGTTTTTAAAATGAAGTGGTTAAAACCTAAAAAACAGAACTAAATTTTAATTTATAATTCTGTTAAGTTAAAGGCTTTTGGAGTATATTATTTTATCAGAAAAGTAATAATTTGTTTGTACACAAATAACTTATTTTATAATATAACTCGTATTTGTCGATATTTTATAAGTTTTGTTTCGCCTGTGAAAAATGCATGCATTAATACTCACATTAATAAATATATAATTAAATTAGCATAAAAAATAAGTTCACTTCAAATTTTAACGAAACACGAATGTCTTGACAAAAGAGGTAAGCGAAGATGAGAGTCTTAAAAAATACTAAACATTATTTGTGATAGATGACTCGCTTAACTCCACAATCCTCTATTGATTTTTCCATTTGTATTGATTTTTTTGTAAACGTTGACGTGGAAAATGAAATTTAGGGGTAATTTGTGCAAATAAATTTATTAAATACGATTAAAAATAGACAAAAATGTTTATAGACATATTTTCTTTTTCTCTAGACAATTTTATTTACTATAATAATCAGGTTAAGGCTAGGTACATGAAGACAACAAAAAAGTCGAGTGAGGAAGTAACTTGACTTGAATTGACCGAAAAGCAAGCGCATATTTAGACGTGGGTAATTTCAGTAGTTCCTGTTTTTTCGCTGCAGTGCGATGATTTTACTAATAATTATAATAATACTCTCCCTAATTCACCCCCAAAATAAATGCTGAGCTTGTCCCGGGAAAGGGACGGCATTATTATTATTATTTGCCGTAGCGCTACTGGTTCATATAAACTAGGTTTTAGTAATAATGCTGCGAAACAAGAGAATTTTTCTATAAAAATATACTCGAGAGAGTTGTGGTCATAGTGGAAAAGTAATTTCATTATAATTTAAATACTTTCCTTGTCTGTATACAGATAGGAAAGTAAAAAATTATATTTATTTTTCAATAATACTTATTTAGGTAGGTTTACCCTCTCACCCCTAGTTGTAGATGTAAATACAGTCATACTAATTGACTACCTTTAATGACTTATTAAATAGAGTAGGTACAAAGCAGTAATACCTACATTATAGATGGGCATAGAAAATTCATAATATACATAATTTTTTTAGTAATTACAAAGTAGACGATTCATGATTGAAAGATTTTATCTGTACGTATTTATATGTATCAACTAATCATTTTGAGCTAACTTTAATTGAAGAACCAATCCATGTAAACTTGAAAAAAGAAATGGAACGTATGACGCCATTGAAACACTATTATTCATTAAATAAATTTTTTTTCTTCACCTACATGGATATTAGCTAATCTAGACACATACTACAGAACGAAAAATCGGTGTAAACTATTTTACCCAGAATTTCGCTCAATATAGAAATAATTGTAAAAACGGAGAATTGCTAATAGTGTTGCCAGATGAAAAACAAAAAATATGGTATACGGCACTTAAAAAAATAGTATTTTACTGACAAAAAATGGTATCTTGAATAATCTTGATAACACTAAATAATAAAGTTTTACACACATATAGTTTATTTGAAAATGCATAATAGCACAATTTTTATTGCAAAGGTCTATATTTTTATATAATTTTGCTAAATAATACATATATTTACGAAATTACCCCCAAATCTAATTAAAATGCTCAATTTTTCCTCAGAACACCAATAAAATCCTCACAAATTCCTCACACAGGGTTTGAAACACAATTTAAATTAAAATCCATAAAAAAAATTTTTTATTTGTAAACATGAACAAATAAAAAATGAAAGTAACATACAAATTTTATTTTAAACTATGATTTAAATAAAGTATTATTGAGAGCAAGAGTGGAAGAACAGAGAATCAAGAGTGGAAGAACAGAGAATAGACAGTAGGGTCATTGTGATCTTACTGAACTGAGCAAATTTGCTAGATACCCAGTGTACCCTTTGTATTAATATTTTTTTTATTGGTCTTCGGCTACGACAACTTAAGTCATTAACCTCGTGTTCTATGTACGTAATGCAGTGTACTAGTGGTCTATTACTCCATAGTGCAGGAGTACTAGTACTCTAATATTCCTGCATCCTTACAGACATGCCTTGTAACTGTTTCCCAGCACCACTTTAGAAACAGCACTGTCAATTAGAACCTAACCGTGAATAGTCGGAGTGAGGAATCCTACCTATAATTCAGAATTATTTTTATCTAAATTAAATTAAAACAAATCCCGGCCATACCGGTGAGATTCGAACCGTGGATCCTTTGATTCGAAAGTCCAGACTCTAACCACTGAGCCATTCACTCCCTATTAATCAAATTGTAATTATAAACCTTTTAGTAATTTATGCCTATAACCTATCGGTAAGTATATTATACAGTGCATAAAGACGTATAGGTTGGAATAAATTCGATATTTTTCTGTCCAGTAGTATTTACAAAATGCTTTCACAGGTCCACTCACGTCTTATGCTACAATGTCATCGATATTAGTACCGTGGAGGAAGGATAATTAGTACATTCATTTGTAGAGTAAGATGCACAGTTGAAATTAAAAATTGACCTGAAAGTACTGCCTTAAACTTATACATCCTCACTGTACCTGTCTGTGACCATTCCTGTTAGTAGAGTAGAGATGTACCTACAGAGTGCTAGGTTTTACTCGTGTTATTTATATTGAAACAAATAAAAATCTAAGAGTTAAAAATATGGTAGCAATATCAGTAGTCAAAAAATGGTACAAAAATGGTATTCTCAAAAATTTGCAGGTATCGTAGTAGAAAAAATGGTATAAATACCATAAAAATGGTATACCTGGCAAAACTGACTCCTAAGCTCTTACATTTTACGAACGTGACGAAGAACACCTAGCGGACACGAAGTGAGAGTTCAGTTCGGATCAAGTTATTGAATGGTATTAATTGGCTGCTTTTTAAGTTGTCCATTTACACAAACCAAAAGGACGCTTTTTATTATTTCCTTTTAAGGGAGACCTTCTTGATTAAATACCATTTCTTTCAATGCCATTTTGAATTTTGAAAAACTTATTTAGGATCTATTATCTTTTACTTTTAAAATACTCGGATACCAATTTTAGTCGAAATCTGCCGACTTTTAAAAATAAATTATTTTTTAAAATCTGTTTACCCTGTATATAACTGACTGGAAGTATAACTGGTTTTGAACGAGAAAGGAACCTTATCTGTATACAAAATTTGAAGTTTTTCTTTAGAGCCGTTTTTGAGCTATCGTGCCAACAGACAGATACACGATAGATGGACCGACGGAATAGGGAAACACGTTTTTCATAATCTAGGGACTCCGAAACGTGAAGATCTAAAATTATCTCGGAGGGTGATTTTTTCACGATTATAATACTTCACTCTTATCGAGGGAAGTAAAAAGTATGTTATTGCGTTCAAGTGAACGAATATATATTTCATATCCATTCTAGGTAGTAAGAACACTGCAAAAAAATGAAATCCACCAATCACAGTTCATATTTTGGATATCCAACTACTATTATTTTTAAAATTTTAAATAAGTGATAATTCTGAAGTATTTTTTACAAATATTGGATAAATGCCGACATGCCGTAATTAACGCACAATCATCATGAAATAACCTAACCTAATCTAACCTAACCAACCCTCACTAGCATCTGGCCAGTGAACCTCGATTTCATTTTTTAACGAACGTGTCTTTATCGTGCGCATCTAATAATAAGAAAATAAGGAATAAGACGAAGCAACGACTTCTTGTACCACCAGAAAATTTCAACCCATACCTGACTACGCCGACCGGCATAAACTCCAACGGCCTGGACACAGCTAAAATTGAAAAAAAAAGAAAGTATTTTTTATAAATATTAGATAAGTACCGACATGCCGACACACAATCATCATGAAATGAAATAAAAAGACGAATGTCTGTGATTACTACAAATGTTTTCACTTCGGGATCCAAATTCACCTGCTGGCCAGACACTATGTAATAATTTTTCAGCCAAGTTTCATTAACCGAATTATTTCCTGACTTATATGTTTTCTTACTCGATTTGGCAACACCGCATTTATAGAAACTAGAAATGTCAATTGTCATTGAAAATAATTTACTGTCTTATTTGTTTTTCTAACAAATTAAAAATCTAAAAATGAAAAATAAAAAAATTTGATCGTTTATGAAAAAATTTGGTATGGTTTATTGCTCTATGAATGGTCTAATATTGATATTTAGCCATTTCTACAACAAGAAATCAGTGAAAATGATTTATTTCACATTTGTTTTATGATGGAGACCCGACAACAAATTTTAAGGAATTTAAGGTAAAAACAAATTTTTTAGTGTCAGCGCACCCAAAATTGTTATGTATAGTGTGTTTCAAAGTGTCTAGAAACTTTCTATAATATTTCAATAGTTATATCAGCCGTTCGAGTGTCGGCGTATAATAGCATAATTTGTTATTTTGTCTTAATAACCTATTATATTTTTTTATTTGTTAATTTTCGTTAGTGGGTCGTAGAAAATGTATACTGTACAACTCGAGTGGATTGTCAACTCTTGTTGCACAAACTACTATTTTCATCGGGGCGACGCAGGGTTAAGGTCATTATGAAAATGAGCAGGATCGTACTCACAAATATTCCTAAAATACAGTTCATTTTTAGGGCGTAATAAAAATTTGGTGTAGTACATGGTTGGATAGAGACAAATAGAGATAGAAAATACAGGTCCGTACATAAAAAAATAATTGAGGAATTCACTGTTCGAACACGGAATTTCAGAAATAACAAAAATTAAATGTGGTCTGCCGAGGCAAGTCATGTGTTGGATACATCAATTTTTTTTAAGTACCTATAAACTAGAAATTGAAATTGCCGACAAAAATTATAAGGAATTGATTTGATATTGATAGTGCATGTTTTTTTAATAGTGTGGAATCACAGAATCACTTTAATGCTGAATAATGCTAATATTAATAAAAATAATCAACTAGGTAGGTATCATGGTCTGGAGAAAAACCAATAGATAAGTAGGTATATTTTATTTTAATTTGTAATTAGCAAAAGTGTGGTGTATAGTGTTGCAAATGTAGGTCAAAAAAGCTCCCGTGAAATTTGGGTACTGGGGTACTTGTACCTACTCGACAGGACATGCAACGTAAAGTACTCGGCACTTTGTACTTGTTCTTCAATAATGAAAATTACCCGGTACTCTAGTAGGTACCTACAATTTACCAGTACCCGGCCCAGCTCTGGTCATAATTCTATCATCAAAAATAACAGCATTTTCTATAAATCGATCGACCTAGTTATTCCAAATAGTCTTAATTTGGTATGTATTAAGTATGAATAATGATTTGAAAAATACGTATCTAAAAAGCATTTTGTAAGAAGCAAATCAAAGAATTCATAATTACCTGAACCCCATGTCACGCCTCTGTCAGGTTAATTGAAAATAGCGACCAAGTCGCAACAAAACGTGAGTACTCCCAGCCAAATAGAAACGATAAAAACACGCCGAAAATGAGTAATCAAAGAAATTTTTACAGTGTGCATCCGGCCTCGATGTAACTGCACAGACGACGGTGAGAGAGCCAGAAAAGCGAGAATGAAAGGTTTGGGTCGTTTACGGGGGGCTCCGTGCACAGCGGGAGGAGGGGTTGGCAAAGCAATCGGACTGACACCAAGCTAGGTCCGGCCATCTTGTGACGGGGAAGCGCTGTTCTTGTCTTCAAATTATCGAATTATTGCCGAAATTGCTGCAAAAAGTTAAAATTATCATAAAGATTGCTCATGAACGATACCGGCTTGTTTACATTAGTGCGTAACGTAGTTCTACATCTCATGAAACTGTTAATAACTCGTGTTTTAGTTGTTTTTATGTGTCATAAAATCGTGTGTGTAATTTCTGTTTTTTACTTTACTGGAATAAGACAATCTGCAATAAGGTGAGTATACAGTTACGAATTTATTAAATCTTACCTGCGGTCTTCCAAGATTTTAGGTAGGTATTAGCTGGTTTCGTGAAAGCATAAAATAAGATAATTATTTCTTATTGCTACTTAGGTATATCTTGTAAAGATTTCGGACCACCTACCTGGGCATTGACCTAAGATCAAAGAAACGAAGTATGTAGCTCTATTTGGTTTACGTATTCATTATTGTTTATAAATAAGTAGTTTCCCTAACAGCAAAACAACTATGAAGTAATGGAAACACGTTTTTTTTTTCCAAAATATACTGTTTTAAATAACCAGTATTTAAATTGGTATTTTATTACTGAATAGGTATATTACCTATAATGTACCTCGAGCTCGAATAAACTGTAAAAAATAGGAGTTGTAAAAATCATGCCATTATATTTATTATTTTCCAACATCAATTCTACTATTTTAGCTATATTTTAACCATTTTTTATATCTTGATAGGACCTAGGTCTATTAATATTTAGATTTGCAAATTGTGATTTCTAAATTACAATTTAGGTAATTAGGTAATGTTGCTGTATGTAATTTAAAAGCAATAATGCTAATGCTGAAGTTTATTCTAAGAATAAAGAACAGAGAAATTTAGAATTGGGAAGTCAATAGCATTTTATTATGTACACCATGGCGCTCCTTTGGTTGTTTTAATCAAATCCGATATTCCTAATCCTAACCTATAAATACCTACTTAATAAAATTATCATTAGTGTTCATTGGCGTGATTGGCATTTTTGCGAAGGTAATCAAAATAACCTTTCTTAACAAATAAAATTCCAAATTTTTAACGTGTTTGATTGTAACTCTTTGTTCGATAGGTACCTATAAAACCGATAGGATGCAGACAAAGTATTCATGTACCTACGTTTTTTCCAAACTAATTTTTCTAAAAATAGGTATTACAGTTGTTAGACAAAAGTTGTGTATTGAAGCATAATTAAAAGTGATAGGTACTTAATTGTTTGCACAGGTACCTACGAGATTTTTAAAATGTTCTGAATGTCTTAGAAAAGGCAGAAAATTTCGACATTTAAAATTGTTTACTCTTATCTTACAGTTATCATTGTAAATTACGCTGTTTGTATTTCATTATCAGTTATTAAAAATAGGTATTGAAATTTCGCAATTTATTTTTGAAGCAAAATTTTTGAAAGCTGTTATTGCAATTTCTAATAATATTAGTATTTATAAATAAACTTTTTTCACACACCGATAACGAAAACGGTCGATAAATTTGTCTTTGTTTTCAAATAAACTGCAACAGAAGGATAAAAATATACTTTTACCTACCAATTGCTCAAAGAAAATAGTCACAAAAAATTCATGGGACAAATGAACATAGTAAATTATTGATATCATTAGGAAGTTATGTATGAAAGTAGATTAGTACTTATTTTGGACCTCTTTTAAATTATTATCGTAGGTATATTTTTTATAGGAGAATACCTAAACATAGTAGTCATAAACAAAAACAAAACAAAATCAGTAGAACTGGGAACTAGACTTACGAAAATGTAATCAAAGCATACCTATTGTATAAATTTTCTTTTTTGTATACAAATAAAAGTGAAAATGAGAAAATAATTACCGCATTGTTTATTTTCATTAAGTGCCTATGTTTTATTGTTTTATCGACGTAGCATAAATCTATTTTTAATCAAAGTACCTATATAGGTAAATAATTAGTTAAAAATTCTCTTTGCCAAGAATTTAAAATGTTTATATTAATTTTCATTAAAATACCTAATGTTTTGTTACAGCAATTGAAAAACCGCAATGGGCTGAATTCAAGTATTTTGTCGAAAGAGACAACATTTTAACAGGTAAGTTTATTAAACCCTAAACCCAAGTTCAATAGGTAGTAGATTTTTGAATTTCTTGATACTTATCACAGTTGAATAGCTACTAAAATATCGGAAAAGACTAACCGCGAGATTATTGTGCATCCACGTTCTCGTGACAGTTAAGCAGTGAGATATCCGGTCTCGTAGTGGATGCGTGACAGCTAGGACGTTCTACTATGGGATTTAACTAGGATTGCCAGATTTCCGAAAGTGAATAGTGTGACGACAAAGCATTAGGTTTAAATATCAAGCATTTTTATATAATCAGGTCCACTTTTTTTGTGAAATTTCTAAAAAAGATCCTCAACTTATATTTTTCGTAAAAACGAGAGTCCTTTGCCCAGAGATTTCTCTATTATTGTATAAATCCGATTCCTCTGCGGCTTTAAATTAAAAAGCGTGGCATTTTTGTCAAAAGCGTGGCATTTTCGTACTGTGGCGTTGCGCGTACACGCAGGTCAAAAAGCGAGGCAAATACGCCAAAAGCGTGACGTCTGGCAACTCTAGATTTAATCCACTAGCATTTAACCATCGACAACGTGAAATGAATGACGCTAAATGAGTGAGAGAATGGAAAAGTAGTACGTTCAAATAGTAGCACCCCAAAGTAACAATTTTAAGACACTTTAAATTTATTTAGGTTTCAAAGGTTTTTATTTAGCAACTTTTAATTAGTTTTAGTGTAAATATATGTTACATCACAACCCATAAGTAGAATTTACTTTTGTAATTTATTAATTTTATTGTTAGATACCACTTTATTATTGTTACTTACTATTAAGAATATTGTCCTGTAAATGGGAAACTGTTGGGCAATAAAGCTATTATTATTATTAAAGGTGCTTTAATATGTTTAATAAAACGATATTGGTTTTAAAGTTACCTTAAGATGTTCTCAAAGACCACTTATTTGTATGCAAGGAATTTTATGCATTCTTTAAATTAAAATAAAAAAAAACGATTTACTCTTAATATCTTGTTGATCTTATACTGGTGTTGTAATACTCTTGACATTGGCTATTTTAAAACTAATTAGCTATTTAAAAAGAATGAATAGCAAGTTGTTTTAAAACAACATTCATTTTGGAACAACAGTTTTAATGTAGTTTTATGGAGTTCCCTGGATATACTCATTAAAATCCATTAAGATCACTTTTTTCTTAAGCCTATAGGTATAATGACTCAATAAAATTCAACATTAAATCTAAAAACATAATTTTTACATTTTAAATAGTGCATTAAAGGTGAGAAACAGCTTTAGAGAAAACCTTCAAATTTTGTTTGTAGGTAACGCTCCTTTCTGGCACAAAACCGTTATATTTCAGTTTCAGTTATATACAGGGTGAGCAGTTAAAAAAATATTTTTTTAAAAGTCTGCAGATTTCGATTAAAATTTGTATTTGAACGCTTTAGAAGTCAAAAATAACATATCCTAAATAAGTTTTTAAAAAATCAAAATGGAAAAAAATCGTATTTAAGGTAGTTCACTCGCGACAGTCGTACATAATGATATTGCCTAATGGTGAATACCAAAAGTTCAAGATTCTCAATGCAAAAAAAATATTTTTGTTAGAGACTGTACACAAAGCATGTAAGCTTACGTTATAATTTCAAAGAAAATCCATCCAGCAATATCGCAAATATATGAATGGTGGGCTATAGAAATTTGTGACTTCCTCATACTAATTTTAAGGGTTTGTTTTGGTTCAAACAGAACCGCTGATTTCAGTTCTCAAATACAGTGGAAGAATTAATTTTTCAAGAACACGTCGCGATGTTACAACAACCTCTTAGCTGATCTAGTGTTATTCACTTAGAGCGCGTTAAGTATAGCGATTACAATGTTGCCAAGAGTTGTAATCATTGTATGCAACTACGCGTTGACTGCTTTAAAAATCTATATATTTTTACCAAGACGGTCAAAAAATTCAGCGTTTTTTTTTTAGAAAATTTTATGTCTTAATTTACATTACATACATTAGTTTTTAAAAAATATAGTAAGAACCGTTTTCGAGATATCTTGAAATAAATACATTGCTTGTGTACATGACAGGCTTCAAGAGAGTTAATATCTCTTTTCTCAGACGGTCAAAAAATTTCCTTTTTTTTAAAGTTACGTAAAAGACACTTTCATTAACCTTATATTTCAATTTTATTGAATTCCTAAGAAAATCCATTTATTGAGTGAATTACCTTAATCAAAAATGGTCCCTCTTAAAGGGAAATAATAAAAAGCGTCCTTTTGGTTTGTGTAACTGGACCATTTTAAAAGCATCCAATCATCGTTCAATAACGATAAACGTGGCGAAAAACCAATTTTTTAATTAAATTAAACACAAAGATGAAAATGCACTAAATGCAACAATCACAAAACCGGCAAAATGTGTGAGGTTAGGATTTCATTCGTACGCAAGATCACTTTAAAATAATAAGACAACTAATTTAAACATATTAAAGCGACTTGGTTTTCAAATTAAATGTAAACAGACTTGTGCTAGAGTAATTGTACATAAAATGGTAAATGAAACGCTATTTTAAGTATTGTAAAATTTAAAATGTTTTATAAATGTTCATTTTTAAACTAGATCACGTCATGTTTTATATGAAATACAAACTTTGCCATGATGGATATTTTGTTATAGGAACATGAACTCCTAGTTACCGAGATACAGGGTGTTTAAAAGTTTGAAATCAAAATTCAAAATTTGCCATAAATCTAAAACGTATTTAAATATTTTTATCTAATTTTGACATGAAACTGGTTTCGAAAAATGTATTATATCTTCAGTTGCGAAAAAAAAAAGAAATAAAAAAAAACCTTTTTTGGTTTTAAAATTATTATTATTGAAAGTTTATGTCAAAGAAGAGAAGATTGACTTATAAAAATAGAATTTGGTTAAACTTGCAAGTGAGTAATAATATTGTTTTGTACCTTATTTTCCATTCTAAATCAGCACAAAATAATTAAAACACAGGGACACGACAAAATAACCTACTCTTTAGAAAACTATTAAATTTTTGAGCCGTATACGAGGTGCGTCAAAAATATAAATTTTGCTCAAGAGTAAAATACCTTTATTTTAGACAAACCTCTTATAGTGATGATAAAATTTGATATCTGATGGTTGTATTTTAGATTTTATATCATGCCCAACTTTTTATAAACAATATTTTTTTTTAAATAATAATAAAAAAGTTTTCGATATGCCACCAACTGTCTACGTAAGTTGGCGGCATATGAAAAACTTTTTTGTTATTAATAATAGGTAAAATAAGTTGTGAATGGTCAACCTAAAATGCAACCTACTGAAATTTGATCAGTCGAATACGAAGTTTGTCAAAAATTAATATGTGATATTTGTATTTTAAGTTTCAGACCTTGCATAACTTTTTTAAACAATAACTTTTTTCCAAAACACTAACAATAAACAAGTTTCCCATATGATGCCGATTTAATTGGACATACTGTATGTATTCCGAGCATATTCGTTTATCTTTCTGAACCATACATTTCCACCAGAAAAAATATACTCAATGGCTGAAAAACCTTTATTTATGTACAAAAGTACTTCAAAATAAAAACTAAAGAAGCACAAGCATGTATAGGGTAGTACGGATTGCAAAATTCAGGATTCAAGATAGGGTTGCATATTTTTGGAATCTAGGACAGATCAGTAAAATCTGTAAAAACAAAGAAAAACACAATCATTTAATTTTATTAATTTTAAACAGAATGTAAAACATATTTCTAGTGACTAAAATAAAATAAACATTTTAAAAATCAAAAATATAAACTTAATTCCTATTAAGTTACACCTTATCTTACCTTTTACCATAATAGGTATATAGGTACCAACGATATTTATATAAAAAAAGATTTAGAAAAAATTTGACACACTGGATCTTGAAAACTATGCATTTTCCGGGCCCAGATTTATATAAAAAAATTCTTATACCTACATTAATATAAGTACTATTTTTTTTTCTTTATTAAAATGAGTCAAGCGTTATCGGTGATAAGCCATCATCAGGACACTAAAAGATTAACATTTTTAAGGAACCATAATTCATTAAAAACAAGCAAAATACAGTAGACCTATCAAAAAATTAAGAGCCACCTAGAAAAATAAAGTTCCCTGGTTTGTCGTGTCCGATAAGAATTTCTGAATTTTAATTTACTTCACACTTAATTACTAAGTGTGATGGCATCTTAAAATCCTATACTAATTTTATTTTTGTTGCAGCTTCCTGAACTGGAAATGGATAAAGAAAATGAAAAAAACAATGAGGTTAATTCAAGCTCCAATAAAGTATCAAATTCGCAAGATCATGCGTCTCTTCTCGAAGCTGCCAATCTTTTTGGTGGTAAGTACATTGTGTTTTTTTTTAATAAATGATAATCCTTATTTCCAATTTAATACTTACACCCGTATATGCATAGTCGATCGCCAGCGATTCGCCAGAGATTCATCTCTCGCAAGTTTCCATGTTCTTTTGTAGGGATTATCACCGGCATCTCTCGCATTTTATTCATGATTCATTTCTTAAAACTCAAAAAACAATGAATGAATATCAAATTTTTCCCTATAAAAGACCATGAAAACTTGCGTGAAATGACATGCCGGTGACAATCACCAACGAGTCGCCACCTTTTCGGGCTTTCGCCAGCGAATCGCTGGCGATACGCCGAAATGAATCTCTGGCGATCGACTATGCATACGGCTGTTAGATTTATCTTCATGGACATGATATTTTTGAACACTTATTTTTCGAAACTCAATTCTAAGGACTGAATCAGTTTTACTTTTAAAATATACGGAGTTGTCCGTTGCCCTCCCCCAATGACTCTTATGATCCTAATAAAAAAATTGTTCCTGTTGCTTTTAATTGGCTATAAAACACTTAACATTCGTGCCAAGTTTGATCTTTTGAAATAGCTCAATTCTGGAGAATAAAGAAAAAATAACATATTTTTATTTAACTTTTTTGACTTTTAGCGGTCAAACGTAGCAAGTTGGTATATATAGGTATTAAATCAACTTGTTTTCAGCCTAATCTGTGACGACTCCATGTACATGCAATTTCCGGATAGAAAAGTTGTATCTTTTTAAACAAACTATATTTATCTTTGACCATATTTAAGTTATAGATATAAAATCGACGCAAAAACAGCGATACAATAATTATTATTAATTATTATCGTTTTCAACTAATTATTGATCTTTAGATAATAAATAAAATATTCAATAATACCTTCAAAATATATTATTCATAATATTGAGGGTAGTTTTCTATGAATATTGTAAGAGTGTTAAATTATTTACTTAAATACCCGTGAATTGTTAACTGATCTTAATCAAGGATAGTTGAGAAAGCATAGTTTTGTATTAAAGCCGTATAATTTTTATATGATTAAACTAGCCTTTTTTACGTATCCTTAGCAAACAATAAATATCATTTTTTCCTGGTTTGCAAAACGCTTTGGAGGGATAAATATGCATTTAGGGTGGTCCGAATATTTTTATTTGCCCCAGTGACGTTCGTGCGAGAATGCTACAACTTTTTTTTAATTATGATGGGCCACCGAATTTTTCCTATCGAATTATTTAACAAAATAACTTCGGCAACTACCTCCTAAAAAATCTTTCGCACTTATTTACAAACACCCTGTATGAAATTAAAAAAATTGCAGCTTCTGAAAAACATTTGAAATATTGTTGAAAGAAATATGCAAAACATCCAGCTTGTTAGGTATCTATAAAGATAAGGAATTCTTACACAATTCCAATATTATTTTACTAAAATATTGACACTGAAAAGTTTTCCATCTTACGAACTTACTGTTACTTACTGTTAAAAATCAGCTAACATGTACGTTACGGATAACATAAACGTTCAATCATATGACCCATTGGGTGCTATGATTGAACGTTTACGTTATCCGTAACGTACATGTTAGGCCGAGTTTTAACAGCAAAGAGACAAATTCGTATGATGTAAAGCCTTTCATAACACATTACTGTTGTTTTCCGCCTGTTATGTTCTAATTTAACAGGTTTCCATCATACGAACTTGCCTCGTTACTTTTAAAATTCGGCCTAACATGTACGTTACGGATAACGTAAACGTTCAATCATAGGACCCAATGGGTGCTATGATTGAACGTTTACGTTATCCGTAACGTACATGTTAGGCCGAGTTTTAACAGTAATGAGGCAAGTTCGTATGATGGAAAACTTTTTCCAACACGTTACTGTTATTTTCTGCCTGTTATCTTCTAATTTAACAGTTTTCCATCATCCGAACTTGCCTCGTTACTTTTAAAATTCGGCCTAACATGTACGTTACGGATAACGTAAACGTTCAATCATAGGACCCATTGGGCAAGTTAGTATGATGGAAAACTGTTAAAATAGAACATAACAGGCGGAAAATAACAGTAACGTGTTGGAAACAGTTTTCCATCATGCGAACTTGTCTCGTTACTGTTAAAACTCGGCCTAACATGTACGTTACGGATAACGTAAACGTTCAATCATAGGACCCATTATTTGATTTAAATAATATCATTTTTTCAACTTTATAGGCCAGTAAGAAGAGGCGTACAAACAGAAAAATTTAATATTAAATCTAACATTTAATAAACTAAATAAATAAAGTAAATTACAGATGGATAACATTTCGTAATCTGGCTACTTTCTCCAAAACTTAAAACAACGTAAGTTCGTAAATTACGTCGAACATTGACCTTAACTATTTCGTGGTCCCTGCCCGACTGACCAGGTTCAGGTTCGGTTCTTCTTTCTTCTCACCGCTCGCCCTTGCGCTGTATACATTGTCGCTCACTACCTAAATTCCATAGGCGTCCCTACTGGGTCACATCACTACCCTCGTCGGCTTCACCTAAACAATCAAACATCAAATTTAAATAAACCAAATAGAAAACGAATAACATGTTACAAGGTGGCCCACAATTATTGTCCTACCGATAATTAGGGTATTTACCGCGGATAGCTCTAGTCGGAGGTGGTGTAATTCGATAAATTAAAAGTTCTTAAAAGGGGCGCCAGTATATTTTGCCACAAAGTACTACCTGCTGAAAACCAGCCATCCAAATTACCAAATTTGGTTAGTACACAAGATAAAGGTTAAATAAATACTACCAGGCAAAAACAGGCTGAAATAAAAATAAACAGCTTAGTTGGCTCTTTCTTTAATTTCAATATTTCAATGAATATCAACCTGACAATTATTTCCCCAATATGTACAACTGTTAGTTACAGATAACGAGCGACAAATATTTGATTTAGGATACCCAAAACACTTAACACTAAAATAATACTTATTTTATAACGACATATGAGCTCATGAAGTGTTAGATCATCTATAATTATAAATATACCCAAATACATGATGATATATACTAACTCTAACACTTTAACAAGCCCTGGTAAATGTGATCTCTGAATACATTCATAACAAACTTGGCACATTACTCTGATTTTCTCTGAGTAGAATATGTGCTGAAGGCACACTCACTGTTTACAGTGGGATTAACACTAAACTCCACCGATGGGCTAATCTCAGCCCTACTTATCAGCTGATGGGACGTGTGCTATTTCACACTCGATAAGTGAAGTGTACATTGATTACACAGTAATTACAGTGGTACAGGGACAAATACTACTTCAGAACTTTCTTAGTAACTCAGAAAACAACAGTTACCAGAGCGAGATTTGAGGCTCCACGCAAAAACGGGAGGGGAAGAAAAGACAATGCAAATTTTAAAAATAAATTAATCACTAGGTCATGGCAAAGTAACCGTAGAATTTAATCAATATAAATATCACCGAAATCGCAATTAAAACTAAAAATTGCTAAATATCATAATTCCGAAAGGAAAGCTAAGCTTCTACTTTATGCCGCCGTGATTTTGCGCATGCCCGGCACATTCAGTGTACTGTCTAAACTTTGGTTACAATGTAATGCTTTGTTGCCATATTTACTTTTTTTAGATTATTGTAGGACATTATATTATTATAAAATAAACAAATATAGTATGTTTAATAAACGAGCCTTTATATTATTACTTACTTTAACCTTCACCTGGCATGCTCATCCTGAGTAACATACCTGGACTCGTGGGGTACGTATGAACCCCAGTGATAAAAATTTTTGAAAAAATTGAAATATTGATTATATTGTCTCCAAAAAATTCAGAGATCCTCTTTAGATACCACTTTAAACTGTAAAATAGTCCGAGAAAAAAATAAAGATCAGCGTTCATAAAAAATCCGGAAAACTGGAAAACTTGAAAAAAATGCGTTTTTTACAAAAAAAAAATCATAACTTTTTTGTTTTTCGATAAAAAGGGATGAAATTTTAGCCGTGTCATTTTCTGTTACATTATTATAAAAGACTATTTTCATGGGTCTTTAAAAAAAGGTATTTATTTTGAGAGCGCTATCCCACTGGCCTAGGTATAAAAGTATATCCCTTGACTATGATAGATGTCGTTACGAGTTTCGATTTCGAAGATTTAGATATCGAAAATCGACGAGAAAGATCGTGGGGTATGTGTACGTACCCCCACAAGGCCAGGTGAAGGTTAAATATATTTATTGTGTCTCTTTCAAACAAAATGATTCAGAAAATAATTTTTTCAAGTACCACTCGCTCTTTTAAATTTTATCAATTAAATTTTGAGTTTTCGTGTACTAGTGGACTTTATTACCTTTGATTAAAAATTGTTATGGTTGTGAATATTTGTATCAAAATGTACAATCTTTTAGCTTACTGGCCGCGTGGAGATGCTGCGGCCAATTTGTTCGCCGTGGCAGCCGGCGGTTTCGGCCTCTCCGCCCATCCATCCATGACATTCGGAATGCTGCCCTCCGGTACGGGGGGCGGCCGATCTTCTGCCACCAGCTTGCCATCTTCCTACCAAACAACGACCAGCTCCTCCGGCACTGGATCTGTCTATACAAATTCGCTATCGGCGGCAGCAAGCCAGGCCGCTAGTTTAGGATTACCAGCTGCGAGTGAGTACAGTTTTATATTACTTTTTATATAATAATGTATGTACATTGTACACTAAAAAATTCTTCAGTTACTAAGTAATTTCATGGTATATGTTGCTTTTATTAAAGCAACAAAAAATGGCTGAAAAATACACAAGCTGTCATTAAAAAAAAATTCATTGATGCACGCCACTGTAAAATTGAATTAACCCCGTCAAAAATGTAGAGATTATTTTAAAATAAATATTAATGAGCAGATACTTTTTTTTATTAAATAACTTCTTTTCGGTAATGTTTGGGGAGTATATCCAAGCCATTTTTTTATCAATTAAATTTGATTAATTGTACAAAAAAAGAACCGGTACATATACATTATTATGATTAATTAACTCCGTTTCTAAAACAGATCAAACATTTTTACTACACTCAAGTATTGATATGAAAATTCCCAATTCAATAATTTCTAAATCTCCCCAAACTCTAAAGATTCTCAAAACCAGTTGTTTGTTTTAAATTAATAAAAGAAAATCTAAATTTTAAACTGTTTTCCTTTTTCACACTACAAAATAATGTTTATAAGAACTATCTTTTATTTCTTTAAACAAAATTAATTCAGAACTATTTAAAACTTTAGAACAGTGCTGCCGCAACCAAATATGTTGATGTACCAAACAAATTTGCTAAAATGTACGCAATTCTTTTTTTTTTTTCTTTGGTGTTCGGCTTCAACATCTAAGGTCATTAGCCTAATGTTCTATGTAGGTTATGGATTGTACTAGTAGTCTAGTACTCCATAGTGCAGGAGTATTAATACTCTAAAACTCCTACACCCCTACAGACAGGCCTTGTTACTGTTTCCTTGCGCCACTTTAGGAACAGCACTGTTAATTAGAACCCAACAGTGAATGGTCGAGTGGGGTGTACCCAATTCTGAATGTGTACAAAATTCATATATAAATAAATGCCTTTTGCTTTCAAAATCTAAATTCAATAAAACAAATATTACATTTTTTGTATAACATAATAAAATTGCTTTTAATAAAAACAATTTATACACTGTGTCCAATTAAATCGGAACTATATGGAAAACTTTTTTATTCTTAGTTTTACGATAAAAGTCTATAAAAAGTTCTGCATGGTCCACAACTTAAAATGCAATCATCAAATACTTTTTTTAGCGGTATACTAGCGTTTGCCAAAAAATATGAATATAAAGAGTAAAGTACCTTTATTTTTGACAAACCTCGTATACGACTAATAAAATGTAATATCTAATGGTTGTATTTGAGGTTTTAGACCATGTTCGACTTTTTATGAAGAATAACTTTTTTTCTATTAATAATAAAAAAGTTTCTGATATGCCATCAACTGTCTACGTAAGTGACCCCAAATAGCCAAAATATTTTGCCGATTTTTTTTTTTTTTTTTTTTTTTTTTTCATAAAGCAATAATATCATCTATACCTTTAATTTGCTCAATTTAAATATAAAATATAAATTTGAAATAAGGGTCTTGTTTGTTGTTTGTTAAATATTCACAGGAAATTCATTATTCCAAAATATACTCAATTTAAGATTATCCGTCCTAAAATGTGCTTGTGTACTATGAGCGAGAAAATGTACCAAATTGGGTACACTTGTACCTAAACGGCAACGCTGCTTTAGAACTTAAAGATGTATGAAATCCGTCCTGTACTACTTTCCTCTGGTAACGTATGCATCAGCTAAACTGGAGAGAATTAATTTTGGTGCTGCCATCTGCGTATGTCGGCTTCAACTTGCTGGTGTAAACCTGGTCAGGGGCGGGGTTATATGTTTAGTTTTCCTGAAAGCTAGTTTTAAAATAATTTAGATATTTATATAAAACACCCAATTATATTTAACAAATAATCAGATGAGCCACCCCGTATATTTCTTATCCCATAGTAATTGGAAAAATTTCCCGAAATACGTCGGATGATTTTCTTTGGGGGACATCTATTGACGTATATTTGAGGCTTGAACAAGCAATCCGCTATGAGGGGGCGCTTCAACCCCTCAAAATTGAATAGGGAAGAGGGGTTGAGTGATACTTCATTTGTAAGGTCTTGGAAGCCTCTTTACAACGTTGTATGAAAAAAATCACATTCTTAAAAAAAATTAATTGTTTTATCATGCCTACAATCCAAAAAATCAAAACATTTTCTTATCTTGCCTTCATTTTTTGTTCTTAGAAGGTGTTTATCACGTTTCTTCGATCATTTCATGTATTAAAAATCAATCTGTTGAGTTACTACTTTGCTGATTTGCTTACAATTTTAAAAATAAATCATGGTGTACACATTGCAAGAACGTGTTGAGCTGGTTAGCTTGTATTACCAAAATCAAAATGGTGCCAGAGCGGCTGCAAGGATATTTAACCGAAAAAACAAAATGTTCTTAAAAAAAATTCTTATCTCGCGTGGTATTTAAAAAGATTATTTAACAATATAAACAGAACTTTTATAAACAACATTTGCTTTGTTTCCATAAAATGAAGTCAATTCTGTATTTAAAATGCGTATTTAAATAACCAAAACGATTTTTGTCTCATTTTCGTCACTTTCTTGACAAATTTCACATTGACGTTTCGAATAAATCATTGATATGTTGTAACTCTGATAATAAATTGCATTTTTTAAATCCAATCGACATTAAGTGAAAACATGCAGTGTTTTCAGATACTGTTTGTGTTGATTGGCGTCTATTAAAATAAAATATGGTTGTCATTGGTTGATATAGTGTTAAATAATCAAGTAAAATCGAAATGGCAAGTCGATCGAAGCTTTCGTTCTAAAAATATCGTGTCGGCGTACATGTTAAATGAATGAAAGATATATAATGCTTGGCATTCTATTTTATAATCTTCACAGTTTAACAGATCCCCTTATCCCCATTTTTATTCTATTTTTTTTTTTCAAAATCGATAAGCTTTGTCACCTTGAGAGCTTGAATTTTGCTAAAAATTTCAAGAGGATATAATTTCAAATCTTTTCAGAATTAATATTTTAATGCGAGCCATTTCATTATTCAGTCATACTCTTAATCATCCAAGTCCCTCTCTGTCTTATTTGGCCTTTGAAGCTCAACTTGTCCGATTATCATACATAATTAAACCCCTTAAGACCAAGCATATGTGGCGACTATGGCGAAGGCGCTTTCGAGTACATTCCAGATATATCGTGATAACGTTTCTAGTTTTGGCGGGGAGCATTCTGAAATCCACCATAATTTTCAATGTGTATAAAAATATTGATGGAGGAACACGAAGTCAGTCAGTCGTATTCAAACAGTTGTGAAGATAAATAGTGAACAATTTAGAAACTTCGAAATATATACACATTAGAATAGTATTGTTTTAAAATAAATAAGTGTTCAAATAAATTATTAACAAATAAACTGTTGTTTAGAATAAACAAACGTCACAATATATGGCTCGATTTTTATCAAAAATTTCATGTTGATATCGCTTTTTATTTTTGCTTTATGATTAACTTCCCCATATTCATAGGCTTCGATCCCTTATAAATCCTGAAATTTTATAAAAATTTCCAGTCAATATCATTTTTACTTTCCTATCTGTATACAGATATAAGGAAAGTATAGGAATCATGATTTTTTTCGACCTCGAGTTTTCGACGGATTATTACGTTTTGAGGTCCCCTGAATCCGTTTTGACTATTTTCGCGATGATGTCTGTGTGTGTGTGTGTCTGTGTGTGTGTGTCTGTGTCGCATAACTCATGAACCGATACACAGAAAAACACCAAATTTTAAACTTACGCTTTGTTCCAGCGTCCAATGTGCTGATTAGATTTTGGACAGTGTCGAAACATCTGGGGGCGGGGGGGTACTTTATAGGTGGTCATTTTTATATTTTATGGAATATATGTGTTATTTACGTTTGGAGAAAAAAAATTCTTCAAATAAAAGTTACTTCTTATATTATCTAAATTTTTTGTTCTATACATAATTTCTCTAAAATGGACCGTATTCGAGATATTTGAGAAAATGTGTAAATTTCGAATTTGAAGAAAACTCAAAAACGGATAAAGAAAAAAACATTAAATTTTAAACTTAAGTTCTATTTCGGCCTGACGTGAAATGATTAGATTTTGGACAAAGTCGGAACATCTGGGGGGGTACTTTATGAGGGGCCGTTTTTATATTTTATGGAATATACCTGTTATTTATGTTTGGAGAAAAAAATTGTTCAAATAAAAGTTATTTCTAATATTATTATCTATAATTTTTGCTTTATGTCAAAATTTTCTAAAATTGTCCGTATTCGAGAAATTTGACAAAATGTGCAAAATTCTGATTTTTATGAAAATTGTTGAAATAAAAGTTGTTTGCGATATCGATCTCTATAATTTTTGTTTATACATGATTTTTCTAAAATGGACCGTAATGGAAAAATTGTGCTAAATTTAAATTTTTCAGTATTTTCATTTTCAATGAATATCTATAGAAAAATGTCTCTAGGTAGATGTATGTGGAAAATGTATAATTTATTTTATCCTCTAAACATTTATGGAGGTGCTGCAATAGGTTGTACAAAATAACCGGAAAAAGCCTGTAATAACTAGATAGGAAAGTCATGTGTTGGACACATCAGATTTTTTGTTTTTGACTTATCGTGCGGAAGAAACGTAAAATCTGACAGACGGATTTTTAAAAATTGTTTAAAATTTGATGAAAAGGATTTTATTACAAAAATTTTAAAATTTGGATAAATATTAAAAATGTATAGTTAACATTTAATACTCTTCACAGATTACTGTGTAAAGAGTATAATTTAAAACTAACTATAACTAACTGACCTTAATAATCAAAATTTAATTGGAATATCCTAATTACAATTAAATTTGAATTATGATAATAATTTAACACATACGTAGGGGGATTTAATAATTTGACTAATTTTGCTTTGAGAGTAAAAGTAATGATAATGATTATGACTTGTGTGGATTTGTTTTTTTTTTTCGCCAAAGTATTGTCAAAA